GCCATTAATAGCCGTTTGTTATCGTATTTAACACTCAATGCTATCTTACTGTTTAACTCAAGGTACTTTTGTTTCACGTAATATGTGGTTATAAACCATACGGTACATCCTATCGACAGTATAGATGCCCCGCAAATCGTCGACCAGAGGATTTTTAGCCTAATATAATCACCATGATAACTTTATAAGCTGTTGTGTCAATTAACATTACATTAACATCGGTGGTTATAAATGCTACATTAAAATTAAATACTATTGCAATAAATGTAAATGGCATACAATATTTTGTCAATATATTCGCTATACGTACAAACTTATAATAACCAAGGCCATATAATGGATAATGAATAAAGTTACATTTCAACTGATGTAGGAATGTGATCGTATAATATTTCTTAGTTAACTCATGTTTAGTGATTATAATTCCCATTAATAGCCAGGCAAAAAACGTAATTGCACCTGCTAGGTAAACCAGTAATTTGTTGTTTAAATCTAGTAATATATCCAGAATCATTTAATTAATGGTTAATGCGAGTATAAAAAATCTCATTGAAGTTAATGCCAGTGATACCCTGGTCGTAATCACCGCTAATAGTCGCCATTTATTAGGCGTGCGTACGACCGACACGTATTCATCGAAATCTCTGCAAACCGTACAATAGGTAAGTCTCAGAAACCTCTCGATCCTCTCAATAATTATTTTAATTTTTGCATTCATTTGTCTTTTTGTGTATTTTGTCAAAGCATTGCTCATCTTAATATCGCTTATAAAATTATAAACAACAATTTTAAACCAATTAACTACCGTGGTGCAAAATGATTTAAATTGTTTTTTTTATAAAAATTCATTATTGATATTATATCAAAATTATCAAAAATAATATCTTATAATTCCACGTAATTTAGTGTTTAGAGATATATTTATTTAGAAATCTTATATATTTAGCTATCTAATATAATTTTAAAAACAAAACAAGTTTATTATGCAAAATTATTATATACTGTAAATAGGACAATTGGATTATCAATAATTATACCAAAACACGTTATATAACTATTAAATATTTATTGCAAATATTAAATAAATTATGCATTTTGAATAATTATGCAATAAATCGTTATGAATACTATAAATATTAAATTAATAATTAATTTAACTTTCGCGTGCATTGTTTTCTAAATTATGCTAAGCCATAGCGATCAAGGTGCTCATTATATTTTAAGGGATACATCAAAATAATTTAACAAATAAGAAAATTATTGCTCCATTTGTATATCATAAAACATTGTTAGGATGATTAACACATTGACAAAATTAGGAAATAATTTCAATTATTGATACAATTCATAGCTATTTATAAGAAACAAATTATACCAATAGTAACCGATAGCTGATCCGGATAGGCGTTCAATGAATTCGCAATATCATGAATTGATCTGGTGGGAGAGAGAGAGAGAGAGAGAGAGAGAGAGAGAAAGTGAGCTGACAATTTGATATTTCTTGAACCCACTAATATTGACTTATGGTACACGGGTAATAATATATGGCTCGCTCTTACTGAATATTTTCCAATAAATTGTAAATTTATGATTAATATTATTTTCAAATAATTTCCACTCATTTTCATCAATAATGGGTTTATTTGTGATAATTGTCTGCAATTGCGATAAAATGTGCGAACATTCGGGTCTTTGTCTCCAATCTGTTGAACCGTTTTTGCGATACATATTGACAGCCATTGACACCAATAATGCATTCATTTTGTTCATCAATTCATTCATAATTTTAGTGTATTTTTCTATTAATCGGGTACTAAATATGTAAATATATTAACTTTAAATTAATTTTTAAAATATTACAAAATACATACTTTCCGTTCTTTATATCCTTTAAATTGAAACCAAAAATTTGTGCCCCAATTATGGATAGACTATAAATATCAATCAAATGATTGTAATCCTCGTCCTTAGCTTCCGGTGCCTGATATATGCCTGGAGTACCGACATCTGACGTATGTTCAACTTTAGACATATTATATAAATCTGTTTTAAAGACCTCTTTAGCCAAACCAAAGTCACATAACTTTATAAGCTGTTGTGTCAATTAACATTACATTAACATCGGTGGTTATAAATGCTACATTAAAATTAAATACTATTGCAATAAATGTAAATGGCATACAATATTTTGTCAATATATTCGCTAAATTTTTTATGCTCTTTCCAACGATGTGTCGCTTGTCTTTCTAGGACTTATAGTTTTTGCTGTACATAAAAGCTACCTGTGCCGAGCTACCGGTGCTCTAATCAAGTAGTCTCTTCGGGAGAATACATAAAAGCAAAAACCATAGTTGAGGTTCAAAAATATTTTTGATACCTATATTCGTTGTTGAGAATTTAATTTTTATGCTGCAAAATCTACCTCGCAAAACTTTTCGCGAAACCTAATACTTACAGTATCTATCGATAATAATAAAAATGTTATCACCAGAAAATATGGACAATTGATTTCCATCCCTGTGCTCATAGTATGAGCCTCATGCTGTATGACAACGAATTGATAACTCAATGACCAGGGCAAACTTTAATACCAGTGCAAACGGTAAGGTTGTTTTATTGTGTCAACATTTATTTGGTTCATTCATTACTAAGCAGCAGGCTCTCTTTTCACAAAATGGATATTGATAATTTTGATACTACAGTAATTTTCTATATGATATCACTAACAATTTCCAATAATAAAAGTAACCGAATGGCCACTATTAGTATTTTATATTAGGTTCAAAAATATTTTTGATACCTATATTGGTTGTTGAGAATTTAATTTTTAAGCTTCAAAATCTACCTCGCAAAACTTTTGACGAAACCTAATATAATTATACTATTTTCAAATGATGGTTTGCTATATGGTTATGATCAGGACAAATTATCCATGAATATTATAAGTCATGTTTTATTCACAGATATAAAACATCTATATTCGTACAACAAAGAAAAATCACTTATAGTGGGTATATCTGGTGGTAAAATATATCATATTGAGAAAATGCAACTAGTTGAAACAAATTATAAATCATTTAATGATTACTATTCACATGAATGTAATATAACTTTAAATACAATTTCAGTGAATAATATCGATATTAATAATGCTGATGATATAAATATAAACACAATTGGTAATTATTGATGATTTAATTTACCTAAGTTTACTTAATTTATAATAATGTTTTGTTTTTTAAATTAAAATCTAATAGATAATATTGATTACACAATAACTCAAAATCTGGTATTTGAAAAAGCATTTAACATTATATGTAAACTTGGTGAGGGTGGTTATGGGGAAGTGTTTAAAGTTATACATAAAAACGATAAAAAAGTATTTGCTATAGTTAATATTCGTTTCAAAAAATAAACAAAGTACCTGCACATCTTGCTTGACAGGTCTAATCAATAGGTATGGCCATAAACATTGTGGTCAAGTATAATATTGTTATCCATGCAAAACAATATAATTAATTTTTTATACTTGACCACAATGTTTATGGCCATACCTATTGATTAGACCTGTCAAGCAAGATGTGCAGGTACTTTGTTTATTTTTTGAAACGAATATTAACTATATCAAGAAATGCAATTTACAAGGTAATTTAAAAAAATTTAGATTAATATAATTATTTTCATTTATCTTATTTAATTTATTTCTCAATATATTTAAGGTTTAAGGAAAAAAGACAAACAAAATGTTTTGAATGAAACCAAAAGTCTTATGAAACTTAAGTCAGAGTTTGTGATTCAATACTACTATTCATGGATTGAATGCAATTGTCTTTACTTTCAAATGGAGTTATGTATCGATAATCTCAACAATGTTTTAAAACTTAAGAAATCATTGTTTAAAAAATTTATGATTACTTTTGATTATTATATATCATTGCAAATATTCCTCGAACTGACAAATTGTGTGCAATATTTGCACGAAAAGCATATCATTCACAGAGACCTCAAACCGGATAATGTGTTGATCTGTATTGACAGCCAATACAAAATCTGATCCATTGAAAGATTGTTGTATATTTTTGTGGTGTAGTTCCGGCACTTCTACAGGTGTTTCAATGGGTGTCTTATGTCCTAACCCGAGTTGACAACACTATTTTATGAGTTAATTAGGCTAGTCAAATAGGGTGAATAGCCAGATACTTCTCCATACGGACTTTGGTTTGGCTAAAGAGGTCGTGAATATTGATTCGTATAATATGTCTAAAGCTAAACATACGGCTGATGTGGGAAATGTAGACTATATGGCACCGGAAGCCGAGGACAATGATTACAATCATTTGATAGATATCTACAGTCTATCTCTAATCGGGGCTCAAATATTTGGTTTCGATACATACGATATAATTGAAGGAAAGTAGGTATTTATGTGAACATACCGTTTGTTTTAAAATACTCTTAAAGGTGAAATTACATTTTATAATTTAGTATTAGCATAAAATAAATTACATAAAAATATTTAATTAATTAAAAAATTAGTTTAACGTAATAGAATATTGATTTTTTATGAGATATAAACTATTATAAGCACCAATATTTTAAATAAATATCCTATAAATAGGCAAACCAATGTCCGTATGGAGAAGTATCTGGCTATTCACCCTATTTGACTAGCCTAATTAACTCATAAAATAGTGTAGAATAAAATGGTATATGACAAGTTTACAGATTCCAGTATATGCTGGGCTAAGTCCAGAGTAGACCTAAATTACATATTAGTGTTAATTAATATAAAAATTTTAAATATATTGAACAGTAATTGAAAATAAAAACTGCAATACTCATTAATTACAATCTGAAATGAATACAATGGATATACTATTTATAAAATTAGTACTGTAATTGATAGGATTGAACAAATTTTAATTTGTTATCTATATTTTTAGGACGGATGTAATCAGGAAATACAATAAAAATATTAAACATTTGATGATAAAAATTAATGCATTATTGGTGTCAATGGCTGTCAATAAGTATCGTATAAATGGTTCAACAGATTGGAGACAAAGACCCGAATGTTCGCACATTTTATCGCAATTGCAGACAATTATCACAAATAAACCCATTATTTATGAAAACGAAATGAAATTATTTAGAAATAATTTTTTTTATTAAACATAACTCTATTGGAAATTATTCATTAAAAGCAAACCATATATTATTATACATAAACATCAATCGGAAAATATAAATGAAGGTTTGTTATAATAAATTAAATGGAAACATAAAATAATTTGAATTTATTTTATCATCTAGATATAAATGAAACAATATATTTGTCCATGTTCAATTTTGTTAAGGAAAATAACGAATCAATTACAGTACAACATAACACATCAAACAAATTGTATAATTTATTTATGGACTTGATACCAGGTAAGTTAATATGAATTTAGTATTATTTGTATTAAAATAATTATAAATATTTTAGAATTATATCAGAAAAGTATTTATTTCAATTTTATTTTTTAAAATCTTTACATTCAAATATATAGATGATGTTCAATACTTTAATAAAATAGTAATTGATATAAAAAAGTCATATGAAATGAAGTCCGATATATCCGTTGAATACTATAACTCATGGATAGAAGATAATTATCTATACATTCAAACGGAATTCAGTTCACAAACTCTCGCAGATATTATTCACACAAAGAATTTAATTTTCAAAACCCAGACCTCTGTTGACATGATTTGCATTGATTTCTACATATCGTGTGAATTAATGCGAGAACTCTTACAATGCATTCAATATTTACACGATATATGGGAAACAGGAATTCATAAAACATTCAATGATTATGTATTGATTGACACTAATCTAAAGTACGACAGATGTATCAGGGTAAATACAATATATACACAGAAAAGAGAGAGAATTTCAAGTATATCCAATACTTATGAATATTGCCGGGATATTATGATTCAATTATTTGAACCAATGCACAATAAGTAAGAAATATTTTTTGTGATTATCTTAAATTATAAATATAATTTTATTTGCTCATATATCCAGGACAATTTCTGAAAATATGGAAATTATAATTAATAAAACTCAAGATTTTCTAAATAATTCGGACTATAAAACCAAAGATATTAGTTGTGTAACTGATATGTTGAATGAATTAAATGACATTTTCGCGCATAATATCTTAATAACCGATGAAATGATTTCCACATTTCAAACACAAATTCAATCCATGGATTCACAAGAATTTGATTTCAATTTCTTCTATAAATACTTATTAATGAAAACCAATTCAACCGTAAATATGGATAAAACTGAACGGACAGACAATCCGGTGTTAACTAATGCGTGCAATGAATGGGTTTCGGATAAAGCAATTCAAACTCAAAATATTGTGAGGCCTGCGGCCGTAACCTCATGTCCCCCAATGTCTGAGGGCCACCTGATGAAAGCAGCGACACCTGGAGTTTCAAAAGCAATTCCATGGGTTGAAGACTTCTATGAGATGTCATTCCTATTATTATCAACGCGTGACTCCCAGTGCCCGACCCCCTCAGCGCCCAATAGTTTTGCTCACATGAGTGACAACACAGTCGAAGATATAATTGATATGATGAGTGACAGTGAGTGTGACCCGGATTACCCGTACGAAGCGGATGATCACGACATTCACGCCGATGTTAACGACGACATTGAAACTCATGGCAAACATGAGTTGAACTGAAATCGGGATACAATAGTATTGAGTACAACGGCGCCAACAGACTGTCGGACCTAATAAAAAGTTTAAAATATACGTTGACTTTTGTCACAATCGTAATAATCTTGGTTATTGATTAACAATTTCAATTAAATTACCGAAATACAAATGAGCATGAATATTGAAATTTATTATTGAAATTTATTTATATCTGATTATTAATACTTATATATATAAGTTATATTTTAAATTTAATATTGAATAAATAATTAAGATTCGACTGACCAGGGTATACAAACTTATAACATAAATGAGTATTTAAATGATAAGAACTATACAAATAAAACTATGCCTTCGGTCGAGGATATGGTCAATGAGTTTAACGACATTTTCGCGCATAATATCCGTATAACCGATGAAATGATTTCCACATTTCAAACACACATTCAATCCATGGATTCACGAAAATCTGATTTCAATTTCTTCTATAAATACTTATTAATGAAAACCAATTCAACACAAAATACAAACAATTTAGCCATAGATTTAAGTTCAACGGCTCTCACAGTCAACCCAAACATACCTAAACTACCGGTCGACGAGTGTCCGACCCTTAATACATGCCAAACCCAATCAGAAATAAATTTAACTCAAACAGCGCCTACCCTTATCGACGACATACCTGAGCTAACCGATGAAATTGAAGCCTTTTTTAAAACATGTGATGAAATAACCCAAACAAACAATTCAGAAATATGTCTGAATCAAACAGCACCACTAAACTTAGAAATGCCTGAAATGACTAATGATATTGACGTATATTTTGAATCAAGTGTTTCAACATTAACACCCAACCTACCTGTTCTCTCGATATGGACCCTAATGTTCATCAATGTTCTCAAGTGGCCGACCATAGAAAACGTGCCCTCGAGAGTGAATATCATGTGGGTATTCACCCTGTGAAATCACCTAGACGATTTGAAAATAATTAAAGGAGGGGTCATGCGTACCAACTTTGTGAACACCGTATAATCAAATAACTCATAAGCATTATAATTTAATTCAATATGGTAATAATAATCATATTTAAAAGTTACAGTTACAATTTTAATTTAAGTGATAAAAGTGATCTAGTTTTAAGTTCAATTAATTGCTATAAAGGTCATATTAGATAAATACAAGATATTTTATTAATCTCAATGTATACTGTATATCATGTAATTTATAGGGCAAACGTTTATTTTATTATATTGGTTAATTTAATTGATATTATCTGTATATTCGCCTCAACACCACTATTTAAGTAAAACAAAGTAATAATAATTGTGTCCACAATATTGTCATAATAGATAAAATATTTGGTGAGATATTTTAAAATAATTTAAACTAATATAAACTGATAAATAATTTAAGAATATTTACATTAGTTTAACATTTTTAAAAGTTGTTTAATTATTTTAAATAATAAAAGATAATAAATAAAATTATATTTTTTAGTGCTGCCATAATTAGTTATATTCAAGATAATTTTTGTTAATAATAAATATTGAATTAAAGAAGATTAATGAAACTAAAAGTTTAATATAATTTGCTTAATAATGTCATCCGTTTTAGATAATTATTAGATCTGTGAAAATATTCCCGACTTTTTGAAACAACAAATTAAGTTATTTTATGTTTTCGATGTCTCCGATGGATATAACACACTGTTTGTAACATTTAATGATATGGTGTATGGATTGGGCTCTAATTGGTTTGTTCAGCAATGGTTGGGACACAACACACCCATTGAAACACCGGTGGAAGTGCCGGAACTACACCACAAAAATATACAGCAATTCTTCAGAGGATATGACTTTGTATTGGCCGTCAATACAGATCAACAGATATTCAGTTTTGGTCGCAATTATTGGAGTCAATTGGGACGGGATGTGGATAGGGATGACTATCATAAAGCGGACATCATTTCATTTTTCGCGACAAATGACTTAATAATTAGTGAAATAAGTTGTGGTTTTCATCACACATTAGTGTTGACATCAAATGGGCGAGTATTTGGGTGGGGTAGAAATGATCATGGACAAATTATTTGCAACAATATTAACATAATTATTATAGCAAACCCTTTTGAAATTATATTTCTATCTGAATACAAAATTATACAAATACAATGCAATAAATATACATCATTTGCCATTACATTGGAGGGTCGGGTGCTTGTGTGGGGAGATACAAGTAATTTCAAAAATGTGGATAAAAATGTATTAGAAAATACATATAATATTAATAATATTTGTATTAATGATAAGTTTGTGTATTTGTTATCAAACAATGGATTCATATATTTGTATGATTTTTGTAGAAAACAAATGACAAAAATGAATGAAAACATTATGTTCACTGAAATCACGCAATTATATTCATATAAGAATTGTAGATTAATAATAGCGGGTATATCTAATAATAAAATCTATGAATTTATGTTATCAAGAATAATTGAAACAAATTTTACAACATTTAATGATTTCTATTCACATGAATTGCAAATTACTTTCAATACAATTGCAAATTACTTTCAATACAATTGCAACAAATAATCTACAAAATAATGAACACAAACTACAAATTAATGGTAAATATATACACCAATGGACAAGCGAAACTGGTGTCGGTTATTTGCATATATCTCTTAAACGCGGATTTGGATTTCAGATGTGACTTCAGATTTAGAAACTAGAATAAATGAACAATTTTATGGTATATAGGATTATATTTTTAAATTACCCGGTCATAAAGAAATTTAATGTTGAATATTGACAAGAATATTTTCGGAATCCTCATAGAAAATACATAAGGGTTTGGTGCCATTATCAGTATTTCGGTTTTACTTTGAAAATATGAAAAATAGCTCTAGCCTGGCCATTTCATATACGATTTTT